CATGGCAAAAGAGGGGGGGGAGCTACGGGTCCCACCTAGGTGACAGGATGCTGAGGGGGGTGAACAAGCAATGAGAATTTGGCTGAAGGACAGGTCCCCAAAAGGAGGGCTGGATACATCCGTCTGCCCCGGCATCCCCCGGGGAGCATCATATCCAGACAGAGGGGTCCTGTCCTTAGCTCCCACTGGGGCAGGGATGGGCAGGTGGGGCAGGCTGGGATTTAGGATCCATCTTGCACCCCAAGACTGTGTCATGGGAGAGGCTGGGGCAGGGGGATGTCTCCCAGGGTCCCCATGCTGCTCTGGGTGGCCTGCAGCAGCCTGGTGACAGGGGGAAGGGTCTCCACCCTGGAGGCTGTGCCCGCTCAGCCCGGGGCCAAGTCCCCCCTTTGGGCTCGGGTACCTCACCGTGCCCTGGCCCCTCCAGGTGCCCCGCGTGCTGCTCTGGCTCATGATCGAGATCGCCATCATCGGCTCCGACATGCAGGAGGTGATCGGGACAGCCATTGCCTTCAGCCTGCTCTCGGCTGGCCGGTGAGCCACCCCACAGGGACCCCCCCAATGGCTCTGCTCTGCCGAGGGGCATGTGGCTAACAACCCCCTTGCCATCCCACAGCATCCCCCTCTGGGGTGGGGTCCTCATCACCATCGTGGACACCCTTTTCTTCCTCTTCCTTGACAAGTATGGTGAGTGCTGGGGTGGGGGGGACAGTGGGGACACTTGCCCGGGCAGCCTGGTGGCAATGTGGCATTGGTGTCCCCCACCCCATCTCTCGACCCCTCTAGGGCTCCGCAAACTGGAGGCTTTCTTCGGCCTTCTCATCACCATCATGGCCCTGACCTTTGGCTACGAGGTGAAGGGGGGAGCTGGGGACCCCCCCTTTCCCCGCAGGGCGCTGGCAGAGCACCCCTGTGAAGCACCCCTGCTGCTACCAGGCTGCAGCAGGGGTGAATGCCAGCTCACAGTGTCCCTTCCCATCGGTCCCCAGTATGTGGTGGTGAGGCCAGAGCAGGCGGAGGTGCTGAAGGGCATTTTCCTGCCCTACTGCTCGGGCTGCGGGCGAGAGGAGCTGCTGCAGGCCGTGGGCATCGTCGGTGCCATCATTATGCCCCATAACATCTTCCTCCACTCCTCCTTGGTCAAGGTGAGGCCAAGGCACTGCCATGGGCGCTGCCACACCGGGGTGTCTCAGGGGACATATGGGGGGGCCAGCCCTGTGGAGCTGAGGGATGGGGGGTGCTCGCCTCACCCCATGGCACCCATCATGCCCAGACGCGGGCGATCGACCGATCCAAGAAGGAGGCAGTGCAGGAAGCCAACATGTATTTCCTGACCGAGTCCTGCCTGGCCCTCTTCATCTCCTTCCTCATCAACCTCTTCGTCATGGCTGTCTTCGGCGAGGCTTTCTACCGCCAGCGAAATGAGGATGTGGTGAGTGTCACCCCGCGCCCGCGGGGAGGCGATGGCTGTGCCTGGCTGCGGAGACGTCCAGGGCAAGCATCCCTTGGAGAGTGGTTGCCCTCATCCCCTGGGATGGGGGGGTCACCCCCCTGTCCCTGGGGGCTGCCAGGTGGCCGTCACTCATGCCCGCCGTGCCTTGCAGCACAACAAGTGTGTCAACAGCAGCGTCAGCCACTACGCCGGCATCTTCCCCGCCAACAACGAGACGGTCTCTGTGGACATCTATCAGGGGGTGAGTGGCGCCGAGCTGTGCCCAGCGGGCATCTGTGCCTGTTTTGGGGACATAGCGCTCCCTTCCATTGACCTCTGGGTCTGGGGGCTGCTGCAACCCTGCTGGGAGATGCTTCGGGTGGGGGATGCTTTGGGGTCCCCATAGGAGTGTCCCCGCACAGGGCGTCATCCTGGGCTGCTATTTCGGGGCAGCAGCACTGTACATCTGGGCCATTGGCATCCTGGCAGCGGGACAGAGCTCCACGATGACCGGGACCTATGCGGGGCAGTTCGTCATGGAGGTGAGGGATGGAGATGCTGGCCCTCGCCCCCATGGGGAGCAGCTGGGAGGGAGGGGAATCATGGGTGGGACCGGGGAGGGGGTGGTGGTGTGTGTCCTGGCAGCAACCCCCCCAGGGGCATTTGGCAGAGTTAATTGCCCCCCATTCCTGCAGGGAGAGGGGCATGGGGCATTGCCCACCCTGTGGGTGGCAGCTTGCTGGCACCAGGGTCCCCAGTCCCCCGGAGGTGGGATGGGGAGAGTGCCCACCCATTGCTCCTGCAGGGCCACCGCCACCCCCTGTGACACCCCCTCCCAGAGACACCCCATTGGTGTTGGTGCCCCATGCAGTGTTTCCCCTAAGGAGCTCATTTGCTTAATGAGCTGGAGCTGACATCTAGCGGAGCCCAGCAGCCCTGCAAGGGCCGGCTCAGCACCCTGGCACAGAGGAGGGAGTGGTGCCCCCATGTCCCTCCGAGCCAGGGTTTGGGGCCCCACCCCAGTGTGGTGCCCCAGGCATGGCAAGGGGCGAGGGCGCAGGTTTCGCTGTGTCCCCAGGGCTTCCTGCAGCTTCGCTGGTCACGCTTCACCCGGGTGCTCTTCACCCGCTCCTTTGCCATCCTGCCCACCATCTTCGTGGCTGCCTTCAAGGATGTCAGCCACCTCACGGGCATGAACGACCTGCTCAATGTCCTGCAGAGCATCCTGGTAAGGTGGAAGGTACCGCCTGCCCCCCAACACCTCAGCCGGGTGGCCGTGCCACCCTCACCTCCCTCTCCTTCCAGCTGCCCTTCGCCGTCTTGCCCGTCCTCACCTTCACCAGCCTGCGCCCGCTCATGCAGGACTTCACCAACGGCCTGTGAGTGCCAGGGCAGGGGGGAAGCACGGGGGGCAGAGTGGGGCACCCTGGCTGCAGGTACCCTCCCTTCGGCCCATCCTGCCCCCCAAACCATGCCGCAGGGGCAGTTGGTGTAGGAGCATTGCAGGAGGGCATGTTCATTTCCATGTGTCCAGGGCAGTTAGAGTGCGACAAACCCCATTGCTGCCCTATCCATCCTCACCCCAATGCCCCATCCGCCCCCCACCCCTGGGTCCTCAGCATCCTCCTGAGCGCTGCCAGCCCTGCGTTTGGAGGGTGGCCAAAGAGCATGCCCGGAGCCCCATCGTGAGGGTGTAGTACGGCTGCGGGGTGCAGAGATGTCGCGGTTGGGCTCTTGCTCACCTACAAATCAGATCTCCCAGACCGCTGTGCACGGTGGCACATGGGGTAGGGGATCTGCCCTGGTGCTGATGCCCGCTCCCCTGCCCACAGCCCGGGGAAGGTGCTGATGATCCTCATCACAGGGCTGGTCTGTGCCATCAACATCTACTTCGTGGTGGATTTTCTGCCCACGCTGCAGGGTCTGGGGTACTACATCCCCCTGGGCCTGCTGCTGGCTGCCTACGTGGCCTTCATCACCTACCTGGTAAGGCTGGCACCGTGGGAAGGGGTGGTCGGGGGGGGATGGCGTCCCTGCTGGGTGCCCATCGCCCTGTCCTCTTTGCCCCCACAGATCTGGACGTGCAGCATCGCGCATGGAGCCCAGTTCCTGGCCCGGGGCCACCACAGCCGATTCAGCTTTGGCGTCTCGTTCGACCCGCCAGCCCTGGCAGGGACCCGATGACAAACCCCGTCCCCCATTACTGTCCCCCCATCTCTGCCCAGCACAGCCCCCTCGCCCCACCCCGGGCACCGGTTTGATGCCACACGGAGCCCGGGGATGATGTTCTGGCCAGAGATGCACCCAGCAAGGAAGGGGTTAAGAGACGGGTAGACCTTCCCCCCAAGTTTTAAGAGCCCCTGCAATTCAGAGGTGCTGGTCCCGGCTGGATTGGGGGGCGGGCAGCAGGAGGTACCCCCAGCCCTGGGCACAGAGGCTTCAGCGAACGAGCCGCCCCAGAGCCCGCCCCTCCTCATTAGTGCCG